AGTCAGGAGTCTTTCTAGTACATTGCTGCCATTAAGATACAGAGGACGTGGGGTCCAGGAGCCCACAGATTGCCTATACATGTCACGACCCCACTAAAGGAAGCCCGAGCCTTTAGATGTACGCGGGAAGTGCCTGTATTTTAAAGGACTCCACTCTGACCCTTGCCTCCACATCCCTACTTACCGAGCAGGTATCCGTTGAGCCAAAAGGATATGCCCACTGAAGTAAGGTAAGCAAACCATACCCTTTCAGACCTCACTACAGGTGCCCAGGAGCCAGATATCTGTGTTCAAATGGCCTTGAACACATTTCCAGGGCTCTGTGGAGCCCCTTTTCTGAATCTTGGGTTTAAGGAAGTGGGGAAGGTATCAAAGGGTGAATTGTTTTGGAGAGGGAGAGGAAAGTGGAATTGGAACTTGGATATATGGGCTACCATGTCCATGAAATGGGAGGCATGTTGCAAGGGTGGGGCTGAACTGACTGGCAGAAGGGAAGTGGGGGTGGGGTGGTAGATGGACTCTTGTTTCAGCAGGAAACTGAGAAGTCCTAGGATTCTAAATTTAAACCTGGTCTTCCAAATGGTTATAAAAGTACATTTATCCAGGTAAAAGAATATATACATATTTCAGTTTGTTTCACACCTTTTACACATCAAGACATATGATAGGTGTACATCGTCTTTTCCTGGGTTCTATACATGTTAATGAGCCCTGGTGATATAGTAGGTTAAGCATTGGGTTGCTAACTACAAAGCTGGTGGGAGGTTCAAACCCACCAGCCCCTCTGTGGGAGAAAGATAGACTTTCTGCTCCCAAAAGAGTTACACTCTTAGAAACCCTGTGGAGCAGTTAGTTCTACTCTGTCCTTGAGGCTCACTATGAATCAGGATCAACTCCATGGCAAGTGGGCTTATACAGGTTAGGGCTGATCTTGGCCTCCCATTTAACACAGAATCAGGCTGAGTCAGTTTGATCTGGGTCTTCAAGTGCTTTGACGATTCCCACTGTTCTTCTGCAGGAATCTTCCATAAGCCAAAGCGGCCAACCCACGGTGGGCTCAGGCCACATCTTTTCTTATGTCAGGGCTCATACTATCTCTTCCACCCCAGGCCTCACCTCACAAAAGACTCTGCTTGTGCCCTACCTGCATTTGTTTAGGTTCAACCTACTGTTGGAAAACCCATTCCAACTCTCACAGGATCCCTCTAAAAGTTTCCAACTGACCAACTTAGTAGCACTCAGAATGCAGGCAACCACGTGCGGCCATTTTTCTTATGATACAAGACAGAGAGAAATCAATATGCAACAGCTTTCAAACCAGGAAAGGGCCCCCAAACAAAGACACAAACAAGAAATCCTGAAAGTGGGAACAGAATCAGGAGAATATAGGGCAGGAAGAATGTACCAAGGAAGAGATGATCTGCATTGTCAAAAGGCTGCAGACGGGTCGGTTGGAAAAGGTGCTCAAAATAGAACCTTTGTCCACCAGGAAAGAGGTCTTTTGAGACCATTGAGGGAACAGTAGATTGTTTTGGTAAAAGCAACAATGGTGGAGAAGTGAGAGATGAGAACATAGAGGCGGCAAATATACTTTAACGCTTGGATTTTGAGAACAGAGATGGGGTAGGTTGAGGGGCTAGAAGATTGGGTGTTATTGTGTTCAAAGGATCGGGAGAATGAGTGCGTTTGTGGTGAAAGGAGCTGGAATTGAAGGAGAACTTGATCGTGGGTAAAGCACGGATAGTTAATTAAACAAGACCTGGGATCCAGTGAACTGGTGAGAGGTTAACTTTGATGGAAAAAAAGGGCAC